GGGGGGGTGTATTTGCTAGGGGGCAGAGACAGGGGAGAAAAACTTAAATATTCCACAGAAATTCAATTTTCTGTAATATTAAAGCACAGGTAAATATTTGCGGCTTCTGTAGATTATTGGAAAACACACACACGCACCCCCCTCGATTCTGTCTGGGAGTCAGCGGTGTGCATGTCATTGTTTAGCAAAATTATGTTGTAAGTTTGGCAGGATCAGGGAAAGAAAAGAAAAGCTTGTGGGAAGTTATCCTCCTTTGTTTGAGGCCGGTGGGCACGCTCTCCGCAACTGCACCGCACCAGCACTGAAATTGGAATGGCTGCACCAGAAGACTGCCTACCAAGAAGATCAAGTTTTTAGCCTTTATTTCATTAAAGGCTTTTGAGCAATGGTTGGTGACATCTCCAAAGCCTGAAGAAGTAAAGATACTTCAAAGCCCTTGTACAGCTCCTTCCTTTTCCTTTTGTTAGCAGAAGCAGAATTATACAGATCTGTCTTATCTGCAGGATGTAAGCAGCAACATATCGCTTGCCTTGGGTATAAGTTGGAGGAGTGGAGGGGCTGGTCTTTGGCATGGTTTTTAAACAACATTTCCTATCTTCCCTAAAGTAGAAACTGGCATGGATGGGCTTCATGACACACACACACACACACAGTAGCTGGGGTATGACAATTAATTAAAATCAACCCTGGAAAACACGTCCTTGTAATAAAGCCCCAGAAGATAGCTAGCAGGCAGAATCCAACGCATGGTGGGTGGCATTTCCTTCCCAAATACAGGCTTCTTAGTCTTCTGTGCCCACAATCCTTCCCAACGGAAGGAATTATTTTGGGGGCACTGAAGTGGGGTCTTGCCCATTTATCCCTCTGTGGATCTCCCCAAAGACCCCTTGGGCTATACCTCTTCCAAATCACTATTAAGAGAATGCTTCTCCACTCCCCGTGGATCTCGTAATCCTCAAGCACCTTAAGGACATGTTGGAGGTTCCTCTTGCAATGGGATGGAGAACAGGTTAACTTAGAAATCCTGGGGACAACTTGAACTCACCTGGCTGGAAA